TAAATAAAGATGATAATCTTTATAATAACAACGATAATAATAATAATAATAATAATGAGTTGATAAGATCACCAAGTCAATCAATAAGTATTTATTAGTGCCTACAATATGCCAGGCACTCTGCTAAGCACTTTAGAAATTATTATCTCATTTGATCTTTGCAACAAATCCCTAGGAGGTCAGTGCTATTATTATCCCATTTTACAGCTGAGGAAACTGAGGCAAACAGAAGTTTAGCAACTTGTCCAAGATCCCACAACAACTAAGTGTTTGAGGTTGGATTTGAATTCAGGTCTTCCTGACTTCCGGCTGTCCTGTCCAATGTACCACATAGCTCCCTCGTGATCAGGCCATGCCATCAACTAGCACAGGTATAAAGGCATATCTATTACAGAAGGGTTAGAACCCCTCATCCAGTGACCAAAATGACAACATCCCAGGTGAAACTGGCATGCCAACATTTACCTACGTTACTTGTGCCTTGAATAAACATATGCTCAGAGAGGCATGGATCAATTACTACACGTTTAAGCATGCTTGTGAATTATTATTATTATTATTATGTGTGTTCTTATGATTTCTGGGTTGGGGCTCCATTTCTTTGTTAACCTACTTGTTTGCTCTCAGTTTTGTGCACATAGTTTTGTGGTTTGTTTTTTCTTTTTGTTTTTTCTTTTTCGAGGCAATTTGGGGTTAAGTGATTTGCCCAGAGTCACACAGCTATTAAGTGTCAAGTGTTTGGTCTGAGGCCAGATTTCAACTCAGGTCCTCCTGACTTCAGGGCTGGTGCTCTATCCACTTCCCCACCTAGCTGCCCCTTGTGGTTTGTTTAAGTTGCTAGTTAGTAGACCTCCCTACTATTATATCACTTCTTTAAATACTTGCTTCTGGTTTATGGATATACAGTAACTGATGTCATATGTGTGTGTAACCAGGTAACAGAGTAGCTGAAGAAGCCTGTCATGGGAGGCTTTGCATCGGCATGTCTGTTTGCGTATGTTGTAGTGATATATTTGTTGTGAATGGCACACAATTTGACACTACACTGTATAATTCCAAGTATCAAATGTGCCACAGAAGATTTTGAAGGGAACTGCAAAATTCCAAATTCTGGGGAGGAATGTCACCCCACCTGAGCAGTGAGAGCTGAGAAACTCAAGGCTGCGGAGAGGTAGGGGCTCAATGGAATGGGGGGGCCCAGGAACTTCCGAGGTCCACAAAGAGGAGAGGCCCCCTGCGAATGCAGAATCCCACTAGTTAGGGGGAGATGGTTTCAAGGGTTGGGAGCTGCTTCCCGGAATGGACTATATGATTAATTATAATTGAGCAGTTAGAGATTTGTGGAGCTCACTGATCCACTACAGAAATGATCTGTCTGCACTGATTTTGCTCTTACTGAATGTGCCTGTCCTCCCAGGACCTGGTGAGTCTATCCACTCTCCACTGCCTCCCCCTCAGCAGCAAAGGGAAGTGGTTTTGTATAAGGCAAGTGCATACATATAAATGCTACAGTCATAAAAATGCTAGCCATTATTAGTATTGTTATCATTAACTTTTAGAAATAGGCAATTGCTAAAGGGGCAGAGTAGGAACAATTGGTACAAAACATACCCTCCCTTCTCCCACAAGTACACATGGGCTGTCCCCAATGTCTTAGTGCAGATTTAAGCTAGTGAGGCTTTAAACTGCACTAACTTTTGGGACGCTCTATACAGCATCCAAGAGAAAGTGGGCTCAAATTTACAGTTTGTGGTGTGTGGCAAGGGCGTTGACATAGCTCCCAGTTATCCTCTCTCTGCAGGGTCCTCATGAAGTCCCTAAGTATAGCAAAGCATTCCCCTGAACTGAAGCTGCTTTTCCTTGTCCTCAGCTTCCAATGCAGACAGTGCCACAGTCACCACTGTTCAGGGGCTGCTAAAGGATGCTTATGAGAAGTCCAAATCTAGGGGCAGCTAGGTGGCACAGTGGATAGAGCACGGGCCCTGAAGTCAGGAGGACCTGAGTTGAAATCCGGCCTCAGACCAAACATTTGACACATACTAGCTGTGTGACCTTGGGCAAGTCACTTAACCCCGATTGCCTCACAAAAAAAAAAAAGTCCAAATCTTCCAGATTTCCTCTGATCAAGGGGAGGGGGAGGAGACGAAGGCTCTTCTCCTCCCTCTTTCTCCTTCCCTAAATTATTCCCTCTCAGGCTTGGTTGCACCGCTCTCTCCTGGATCTCAACTAGAATGCTAAAATATGAACATGAGCCCTACAGGGCATAACTGGGTCTCCTCAGCCAAACCCAACACAGTTCCTGGTGAAAGCCAAGGCAAACCTCTGGACTTCACCATATAAAAAACATCACGGCTATAGGAAGGACATTAGTTTAGGCTGCCTGTAACTCATTTGAAAGTTCTGAGAGTTTCAATATTCACGTACCACCTTTTCTTTCCACCTTGCCTAAGCCCCAGGGGCAATATGGACAATGTTGTCTATTAACATTGTCTGTTAGTTAGAGGAAGAACTTCCTAACCTATAAAATGAGTTCTTCTTCTTGATATTATCAGAGAGATGCTTTGAACAGGAAAAAACATAATTTAAGAGTTTCTTTACAACTACGAGAGCAATTCTTCACGTAAAAGAGAAGGCTGGTAGCTCAGTGGTTAAAGTACTGGGCCTGGAGTCAGAAAGACTTGAGCTCAAATCCAGCCTCAGTTAACCTCTGTTTGCCTCAGTTTTCTCAACTGTAAAATGGAGATAATAGTATCTACCTCTCAGTGTTGTTGTAAAGATCAAATGAGATATTTAGCACAGTGCCTGACACATACTAGGTCCCATATAAATGCCTATTTCCCTCCCCCACAAAACCCTTCAATCCAACAGATTTAAAGCCCATGTATTTAGGCATTTGTATGGAATTCTGATTATTCAAATGGACCTGAAGGGAGTTCAGTAGTTCCATGTTACCTTCATTATCAAATTTAAAAGATATCATTTCAAATATATATTTTTTTGTTATTGTTTTCACTGGCATACCAGCAAAAATTTCAAGGCCACTTATCCAATTACAGCTACCACAAGTCCTTTAAATATGTTCTTTTACTCACTGAAAACATTTGGAAGCCAACCACACATCCTAATCCTCAAATGGAAATAGTCAGATCTTGTCCCCTTTCTCCTTAAAGTTTACTACTCAGTTAAGAATTGCTGCTTTTGGGGCAGCTAGGTGGGGTAGTGGATAGAGCACTGACCCTGAAGCCAAGAGGACCCGAGTTCAAATCTGCCCTCAGACCAAACACTTGACACTAGCGGTGTGACCCTGGGCAAGTCACTTAATCCCAATTGCCTAAAAAAAAAAGAATTTGAGCTTTTATATCTTTATCATTTCCTTTTCTTGAGGATATCTTTTACCCTCATTTCATGAGAGGGGGGAGGTTAATTTAGACAGAAAGAATGTGAAACTGTAAGGATATAATCTCATACACGAATATATAACTATGAAGGCACTGGGCACGGACTTGGCACTTCTAAGAAATGAATTCAATGACCTTTGACTGATAGATTCCTTAGATTGACACTCACCTGATTAAAGTATCAGGACATAGCATCATCTTGTTTACTTCAGGCAGGACGGAAGGCCACTGATTATTTGATTGAATCCACCCTCATCTTTCTGGGGCAGCTAGGTGGCGCCATAGTGCATATAGTGTGGGTCTGGAGTCTGGAAGACTCCTCTTCCTGAGTTCAAATCCAGCCTCAGTCGCTACTGGCTGTGTAACCTTGGGCAAGTCACTTAACCATGTTTGCCTTAGTTTCTTCATCTGTAAAATGAGCTGGAAAAGGAAATGGCAAGCCACTCCAGTATCTTTTCCAAGAAAACCTCGAATGGGGTCATGAAGAGTGGACACTGCTGAACAGCAAATCCCCATGTTTACCATTGCATCGGGGGAACCCGGCTTCCTCCTGAACGTATTGTCTTCCTGGCTTTCCTCTCTGGAAGATACTCTTTCCCTCTCGGCAAAACGCGCACTGGCACACAGCCGATAGGAATCTCCTACTACTTTCTCCCCACTTCCACTCACTTCTAGGTTCTCCTGCTATCATTAGATATCATACAGCAACCTTTCCTCCTTTGAGGTTCACTCCATTCGTCTATATACCCCACCTCAAGCCCAGGGGCTTGTTGCCGTAATCTACCAGTTTCCAGTTCAACAAGCCGCATTAGTTAATTACCGATTCCATGTAAGAAAATGTGCTAGAATGGAGGGAGACAGAGACCCATTAGATCTTATATTTGGGGGGACTGGGATAAGTAAATAGGAGATATCTGCGGAGAGAGAGTATTAAAAACTGAGGCGGGGGTGGGGTGGGGCTGGGGTGATTTGGGTGGGGATCGGGAAAGGCTTCAGTTCAGAGCTCACAGCCTGCCTCTCCGCCCGTCGCCTGCCCTCACGCATAATCATCTCCTTCCTAACCCCTAAACCTTTTTGTTCTCAATAACCCTACCTGCTCTCTGCAACTTGACCCCTGCTCCCCCACCCCAGACACTCAGGTCAGTACAGCTGCTCTCCCCTGGTGCTAATCCTACTAAGTACCCCCTGCCCATACCTGGGTCTTGCCAGGCTTTGAATTGAGCTCTCTTCTTTCTCTCCATCTTCTCTCTTGACAATTTTATCAGCTCCCAAGGGTTCAATCTTATCTATGCCAGGGCTCTCCAGCCCTGACCTCTCTGTAGTACGCCAGTCCTACATTGCCAACCGCCGGCTGGGCACCTCCCCCTCAATGTCTTCCCTAATCCTTCACCGGGTCCTCCCAGTTCATGCACTTCCTGACCTCTCCGGACTTGCGCCTGGCAATCTCTTCTCTGCTAAGGCCAAAGTCTTTTCTCCCTAGTCCTGCTTGGTCTCTCTGCCGCTATGACTCGGTCACCATCTCACCTCTCCTAGGCCGGGGGCGCTTGGCTCGCCGCTGCCCGCCCTCCTTCGCTGCTCTCGGCACAAGCCAGGGGCGGCCCGATGTCCGGAACCCTTCATGACCCGGGCGCGCCGACCATTGTCTCCATTCCCGGGGCAGCAGCGCAGCAGGACCCGGAGGTAGTCGGCATGATGTGGCTGTGGGCGGCGCTGGGGCTGGTGACTGGGTCCATGCTGCTAATGGTCATGGTCCGGAGGCTCGTCCTGGGCCGCCACTGGAACGGGCCGAACCCCTTCGCGGAGGACGTGAGGAGGCCGCCGCTGGCGCTGGTGACTGACCAGGAGGCCCGGGGGAGGGTCCTCAAGCAAGGTGTGCGTGGGGCAGCAAGGGGAGGGGAGCGGGGTGCAGGCAGCAATGGGGCCAGAGCGCAGCTTGTGGAGTCCCGAGGGCCGGAGGTTCGACTCTAAATCCTCAGCCTCAGTTTCTTTACCAGGAAATGCTGTAGTAATTTGGTAGCTTTATGGGAGAACAGAACAAAGCAGCCAAGCCAACCCAACCAGCCTTTACTAAGCGCCTATTGTTTTGTAGAGACTGAAGTGGTCGCGCGAAGAGGGTGCACAAAGAAGGTGCTAATGTGGGGGGGAGGGGAGGGGGAGCAGGAGGCGGGGGGGGGGG